AAGAACTTATCGCGTGAAGATCTCACAGTCTACCTGTATGGACGAAACGTGTGCCCGAGATACAGGTAGTACGATAATTAACAAATTTGCGAGCTTTACAACAATTGAACCATTCACCACACGCCAGGAAAGCCTTGCACTGCTGCGATTCGATTCCATTCCATTCGATTCGATTATCATTCGAAGGATTCATTCGTAACGGGCCAAATGGATTTCTGCATGCTCGTACTACTAGCTAGCTGCACCCGTATCATGCATGGCTCGTTTCGTGCATGGCGTTTCGTGCTCTGCATCGCTCCGAGTTTGGTGCTTCTTGCAAGTGGCTACCAAGTAGTACCTTAACGTAGCTAGAACCGATGAAGAGGTTGGTTTGCTGCAATGATTGGTTGACAACGCAAAGACTTCCACGCAGCCACGGCTCCTTCTTCATCGACAAGGTCAATACTACTGCTCACACAACCAACCAATCAGGAGCACGGGTACAGGCAATCCATAGCTGCAATTTCATAAAGTATTCTTACAAAATTATGTGTCTCGTGCTCTAGCACCATACCATACCGTGCCATTATCAGTGTCCTTCATCCTGAGACCCAGGGCAACCATTGTCGTGTAGCCACTGGATCACTTCCTCTTGGTTGTTCCTGCAGGCAGCTTGATAGGTCCGTTCATTTCATGGGCAATTATTTGCACGAGCCCTCTTTAAAACTTCCAAACGCCCCTTTCCGGCAGCATACCAGCATGTCATTTCACTCCATGGACAACCACTTCAAAATTCCAAATGTCCGTTTTCGGCAGCTTTTTCACATGTCAACTCATCCCATGGGCAATCATTTGCACGAGCCCATTTCAAAACTTCCAAATGTCCGTTTTCGGCGGCACCTTCACATGTCCTCACATCCCATGGACAACCATTCTCTCTTAACCATTGGAGAATTTCCAAATGTCCATTTTCAGCAGCTTTAGTACATGTCCAAACATCCCATGGACAACCATTTGCATGCAACCATTGGAGCAATTCCAAATGTCCATGTTCGGTAGCACATGCACATGTCGCTTCATCCCATGGGAATCCTTGTTGGTGTGCCCACTGCATGACCATAATATTTCCAATTTTGGCAATTTCATGGCAAACATGATCACGATCAGGTTTCTTTTCGCTGGAATCGTCCCTGAGCCAGCATTCTGCGCGTGGCTGGTTACAGAATGTGGCACTGTAGAAAGTGTCTGTTGGAGTCACAGAGCCACCATTCATTTCCAGGTTATCTTTTACCTTTCTTGGATTTTTCTTGAGTTCAGTTTCACAGTAGTCTTTGTACAGCTGTTTCATCTTTTTGTTGTCCAACGCCAACAAACGATAGAATCGGTCCAATCCAAATTTCATCTTCCGCCAACGGAAGAGCAGACTTGGAAGTACCTCTATCATTAGTAGCTCCCGTGCCACGACAATGTGTTTGAGAGGCTCCCGTGTCTCAGCTCTCAAGGTTTCCAAGCGTTGGGATGACTGTGGTGCCCTCGATCTCTTCCGCTAGTCTTGCTCCTTTGCTCCTCCCTGCCCTCCTGTCTTCCATGTTGCCCTCCTTGCACACTTGATTGCCTGCCTTGCGTTCCTGCGTCGTGCCATCCCCTTGACCTCTGTCTCCCTCCTCATCTTAGCTCTCTCTAATCCATAGTAAACCCGATTTACTCATTAGTAGCTGTGGCAGTATTCATGGTGTGGATGTCTATTGGATGCGGTGATTGATGTGGTTGTGAAAAAAAAATACTAAATAGATACGTTAAGGAGCGAGGGGGGCGAAGCTAGGCAAAGCAGTGGCTGCGGTGGTGGGTGGCTGGTGTGGTGGGCGTACGGGGAGAGCAATGAGGACGCGAGCAGGGCAAAAAAGGGGGGGCAGCAAAGGGGGTGCAGCGAGGAAAACCAGGAAGGAGAAGGGAGCAAAATTATCGGAAGAGTGCAAGTGCACCATCGGCATCCCAGAGAGAACGACGGTAGCTCATTGTGCCAGCTGGGACACGAGAGCCACGCATGCAGAGGTGGCGGGCCCGAAGAATAGCTAGGCTGAGCCGAGCATTAACATAGCCACGCACCACTGAGTAAGGGCGTTCCCACTTTGCAGCGAGCAAAGCGGAAATACGTTTCGCGAGTGCCTCAGCTTCGGTCCCAAGGAGACCATCAGCAGAGACAAAAACGGAGTAAAGTGGCGGCATTGGGAAAGACAGGCGTTGGGATCCTTGCGTTTCTTGTCACATTCGCCATTGCGAAGAACCTTGTCAGGATCCTTGCGACAGTGAGAAGCAGCATTGGTGCTGTTTCACCCCATCAAAAACAAATCCTGAATTTCGACTGTTCTTTGCTTAAGCCTGGCCCCGGCTGGCTTCCGTAGATAATTTCCCTGCTCTAAAACCCCCATAAATATCTAAATATATAGACCTTAAGGAGCGAGGGGGGCTAAGCTAGGCAGGCAGTGGCTGGTTGTGGTGGTGGGTGGCTGTGGTGGTGGGCGTACGGGGACAGCAATGACGACGGGAGCAGGGCAAATGGGGGGGGGCAGGGGAGGGGGTGCATGGAGGAAAACGAGGAAGGAGAAGGGAGCAAAATTAGCGGAAGAGTGCAAGTGCACCATCGGCATCCCAGAGAGAACGACCGTAGCTAATTATGCCAGCAGGGAACAGAGCCACACATGCAGAGGTGGCGGCCACGAAGAATAGCTAGGCTGAGCCGCGTAGCCACGCACCACTGAAGTAAGGGCATTCCAACTTTGCAGCGCGGTCACACGGCCTCAGCAGCCGTCAACAGAAAAGCCACGCACTTCAAGAGGTACTAGTACAGGCTACTCTCAATATAATATTTCCTAGTATTTCCTTTTTTGTGTCACGAGTAATGAGTCCAAAAGAGGAATCGCGAGTCCCACTTACCACAAAGTTATCGAGCTCCTCGTACCGTACATACCGGAACATATATTCGAGGAGAAGGGGTTAGAGTAGGGAAATTATCTACGGAAGCCAGCTGGGCCAGGCTTAAGCAAAGAACAGTCGAAATTCTGGACTAGGTTCGTGGATCAGGGGCAAGAAATGAGGACCAAACGGGGCCAAATGGTTGGCTTTGCGAGATCCACAGAGACATAAATGGGTAGCTTTCACAAGGGCAATGGAGATACGGGTCTGCAGAAAAACATCATTTGAGAGTAGGAAAACTGAGTTTTGGAGGCAGTAGCAGAAGCAAGCCGTTGTAAGAGAATCTTGGCTGGGGGCAAG